CAATTTCCAATTCTTCAATCGTGGCATGTTACGTGATAAAATATTTGTAAAACTTTCCCCCATGTTAATAAGGTGAACCCGATGCCCCACCCACTGTCATGACTGTCGCGGGGGAACCCTAATCCAGTCTTACTTTGGATATAGAAATATAATCTGCTATAAGTGTCTACAGTGGTTCTGTATTCACGCTGATACGAAATTATCCATTTGGCTTTGTATGCGTGTATCTCGTGACGCTACAGTGTTCAGTGTACTGCGTATTGTCATCAAAGTGTTATCATATTTACACTGCAAGCATATTCCAGCGGTATCCATGTGTACAGTGACATTGTATCCATGTGTACGGTGACATTGTATCCATGTGTATAGTGACATTTTATCCATGTGTACAGTGACATTGTACCCATGTGTACAGTGACATTGTATCCATGTGTATAGTGACATTGTATCCATGTGTATAGTGACATTGTATCCATGTGTACAGTGACATTGTATCCATGTGTACAGTGACATTGTATCATGTGTATAGTGACATTGTATCCATGTGTACAGTGACATTGTATCCATGTGTATAGTGACATTGTATCCATGTGTACAGTGACATTGTATCCATGTGTACAGTGACATTGTATTCTTGTGTATAGTGACATTGTATCCATCTGTATAGTGACATTGTATCCATATGTATATTGACATTGTATCCATGTGTACAGTGACATTGCATCCATGTGTATATTGACACTGTATCCATGTGTACAGTGACATTGTATCCATGTGTACAGTGACATTGTATCCATGTGTACAGTGACATTGTATCCATGTGTATAGTGACATTGTATCCATGTGAGGTGACAGTGTATCCATGTGTATAGTGACATTGTATCCATGTGTACCGTGACATTGTATCCATGTGTACAGTGACATTGTATCCATGTGTATAATGACATTGTATCCATGTGTACCGTGACATTGTATCCATGTGTATAGTGACATTGGATCCATGTGTACCGTGACATTGTATCCATGTTTACAGTGACATTGTATCATGTGTATAATGACATTGTATCCATGTGTACAGTGACATTGTATCCATGTGTACAGTGACATTGTTTCCATGTGTATAGTGACATTGTATCCATGTGTACAGTGACATTGTATCCATGTGTATAGTGACATTGTATCCATGTGTACAGTGACATTGTATCCATGTGTACAGTGGCATTGTATCCATGTGTACAGTGACGTTGTATCCACGTGTACAGTGACATTGTATCCATGTGTACAGTGACATTGTATCTATGTGTATAGTGAAATTGTATCATGTGTATAGTGAAATTGTACCCATGTACATAGTGATATTGTATCATGTTTATAATAACATTGTATCATATGTATAATGACATTGTATCCATATGTATCGTGACATTGTATCCATGTGTATAGTGATATTGTATCCATTATATAATGACATTGTATCATGTGTATAGTGACATTGCATCCATGTGTATAGTCACATTGTATACTTGTGTATAGGGACATTGTATCCATATGTATAGTGACATTGTATCCATGTGTATAGTGACATCGTAATGCCACGTTGTGTTTATGTTTGTGGTAAAATATTTCCGCACGCATTGTGTCAGGCTCATCGTATTTAGAGTAAACAAATGTTTTCGTCAGCTCCCATTAAACCCCCCATCCCCACCCCCACCCCCCAGCCCAGCCCCCCGACTACCACGTACCAACAGAGCAACAGAACTCGTTTTCATTAAAATGATCTTCGCTAGCGCTTCCTTCCTCTCGCGAGTGGGAAATAATTAATTGAAACTGAACAGACAGCGCTTGTATACACCCCTTGCCTTGTGTGGGTTTTGAGAAAGGACGTATTTTGGTCTGTGTGTAGTGACTGCAATAGCGTGGTGTAGCGAATGAAGCCATGCAGCAGATCTGTATATCCCCATCCTCGCCATATGGAATGTGTAATTAATCAGCAAATAACAGTGTGGCTCCAGGATCAAGGGGTTGGGGCCCGGGATACACTTGTGTTTTCATTCAGCAGGGAGGGGGTCACATTATGAACCCTAGAGATGGGTGTGTAGTGAGGGTGGAGGCAGGGGGCAGGGGCATCTCTTCAATACATCTCTCTCTCTCTCTCTCTCTCTCTCTCTCTCACAGTCTCTCTCCCCCCACCCCATCCCACCCCCACAGTTGAAACACTGCGATCCACACTGCAGGGATAAATGTGCTGGATCAAATACCAACGTTGCCAGAAACAAGTACCGCCAGAGTTTTAAAATACTCACCCCACAAAAACAAATATTTAATAATGTTCGCGAAACTGGAAATTTTACACAAAAGATACATTTCAAAATGAAACACGAGAACGCTCGGGATACGGCCAGGGAGCGGAACAAAGAACATGGTTCTCTAATTGCCTCTTGACACCGAGTGACGTCATAGTCTCGCCGCGACCTCCCTGACCCTAGAGCAACTCCGACCGAATTACTCGCAGCACAAAATAGTCCACAGTAATCCTAGCGAGCGCTGCATCATCCCCGCGTCAGTGTGGAAATTCTGGCAGCGTGTTGGCAGTGGTACACAGGCAGGGACGGAGATTCACCAGCCACAACGTGTATTCGAGGTACAGTGTTTTCCTCCTGTAGCTCGTCTGTGATATTGCCCCGTTTGTTTTCATCTTCTAGCTGAAACTATTTATACATGTTGTAACATTACTTTCTATTAATGTTTTTCCTCTGCTGTCAAATCTTCCTCTGTATCAGGTAACACGTGACAAGAACGCACGTTATTCGTGCACAAGAGGAGTGGGCATAGATTTCATGTGGAGAGAGTTTCGTTATCAAACAAATTTCTCAACTCTCCATTTGGGCAGAGGAATATCCATTTCCAGGATGAAGCTATCAGGGTTTAAGGGCCGTGTTCCCCCAGAGTCACTCCGAGGCATAATTAGAAAGCCCCCCCAGCGATGTTAGAGGCTTGAAACGCCAGAATAATAGGCCATTGTTTTAGTGGAGGACGTCGCCTGAGGATCTGTATAAATTACTCATTATAGAAAGACACCTGTCTCCCTTTCTACCGCTTTACGATTCTAGGGGGAGCGAGAATTTTCTATTTCGGATTATATCCTCAAGCTGGAAATTTTACTCGCACCAGTGTGAAAATTATCTGCTCATTTTTCCTCGTCGGAATCAATTTCGCATGCGTAAGCCACATTCATTGTTAAACAGAAATATTTCCTCGCTAGGAGCCTTTCAGTGATATTTAACCTTCCTGTAGCTTGAACAGACGTAGAGAAAGGTTAGTGAATGTGGTGGTGAGATTATATTTCCTGTTGTCGATACAGTGCTGCCATATGCATTATTTACAAAGAATATTTCGTTCGAAACGATGTATTTTAATCAGTAATACCGAGGTTTTCAATATTTCGTGTTATTGATACAGAAACATGATAAACGTGTGATTTATTGAAACTAGTCACATCAGTAGGAAACGAGGTGCTAATCACGGTGCCAATCACGGTGCTGGTAGCACGTTGACTTACACCACGAATAGCTGCAAAAATTAATGTATTTTGTGTCGTGAGCGGTGTATATATATATATATATATATATATATATATATATATATATATATATATATATATATATATATATAAACCGCTCACGACACGGTGAGCGGGGGAAGAATATCAGATGTATATATATATATATATATATATATATATATATATATATATATATATACTGAAGGCTTAAAGAAAGTATACCGAGTTGTTGTTTTTTATGTATTTGAAAATTTGTTAACTTGTTAAATTTTGTTATGTCTATATAACCATCACTCATTCCTGGAAGAATTTGTTAAAAGTTATGTGGCTGGGTAATTTTGTGTAAAAATAAATTGGTTCAATGAAGACTGGGGTAAAAAATGAATTTGCAACCACATGACCCCTGCCATGTATTAAATGTTAATTTGTGCCGAAAATGCAAATTTATTGATTTTCAAAAATAACATGTCTCGGATAGCCCCCAGCAGTTGTGTACTATGCGAAGCGTCCTGGTCGGGATGTTGCGGGAATATGGCTTAAAGCGGCGTAAAACTATACTTACTCTCCATCCTTAATCCCTGGTTAACCAACCCAGAGTGACCAGTTTGTCCAGTCAGCAGATGACCACGGCACGTATAGTTATAATTCTATCATTGCAGGGGGCACGGGTGACCCATTCGTCTAAGGCGCCGCGATTCGCTGTGCAGAGTTGCGTCCCCTGGGCACGCCATAAATCTATGATAGGTTCGAATCCCGGTTCACCCCGATTATTGTTCTAGGTTTGTCAGCACCATACCCGTGCTCGTGGGTTTCACCGAAGTGGTGAACGCCTGAGACCTGCATCACTTCGGGCTTTCCTCCCACATTAAGCTGACACGCCGTGATATAACTGGAATAGTGTCAAAAGCGGCGTTGAACCCAACTCACTCACTCACTCACTATCATTGCAAGTTTTATCTAAGGGCATCTTTGTATCTATCATTGTGTCCTAGATTGTGCGGGTGACATTGGGTTGACCGGGTTTCTGAACGGAGTCAACTAGTGGATAGCAACAATCCTTTTATCAATAGCATAAATATTTCTACTCGCTTGTTACCATACAAACCGCGACAGTGACAGTAATAGCATGGTTAGCAAAACACTTGTGCACAATCTTGGTACAGACAGGAAACAAACAAGTTCTATCCTTATTGATGTTGAGCTGATTGTTACCGAGATCCTGTTTCCACGGATATCAGTTACCCCGTGCCAGCTTCTCTGCCTGTTTTACAGGGATGTTACAGCATACCGAGCATCTGTATTCACTTCTTATGAACCCGTGCATTCATACAGCTTGCACGTCGGTTTTCGTTTCATACCTCAATGAACCGAAAAAAATACACCGTCAATCCTTAAACCAATGTGTAATTTGCATCTGTACTGCTGTGATTTATTGCAGATACCGACGGAGCGGTAGCTACAGGAATGTTAACTGCTGAGATACAACAAGCTTTGTTGAGGGAGAGCAGAATGCCTAGTGCGCATGTCCGTCTTCTGAATTTCCACTAAACCACATCTGCCGTGATCCTCAGAGCCTCCTTCATTAAAGATTTCCTCGACACACGCGCGTTTTAATATGACGCCGACTGTGGACTAACAAGCGATTCGGACCGCCGTGAAAAATGCCACAGAACTGTGCACACTGGAAAGTCATCATAACTAGGGATTTGAAGAGTTATGACATAAACACAGTCATATCTTATCAGGAGGGAAGCCATGTGAATGAACTCTGCATTGCAAGACAGTGACGAGTCACAGGGATAAACGCTGTGCGACCCATGCCAATGTATCTGTTATACTTCCCCCGCTCACCGTGCCCATGTATCTGATATTCTCCCCCCGCTCACCGTGGCATCACGTTCAACGCACACAGAACGGAGTGAGAATGCGCCTCTCGGTGAAGGCGGTTGTGAAAAAGATCGTCATATGCTTCGCGCTTCTTTATTGCTTTTCCTGTCTGCGAGTTCTCCTTCCCCAGCCCATTCAGCCGATGGGGGTCGTGCATCTGGCGCGCCTCGCCGTTCAGTGGCAACGCTTTCCTGTAGAAAAAGCAGACGACACATTTCGGAAAAATATAACAGTGCCTGTGTCAGTGAACGTGGATACTTTGGCCAAGCACCTTAATCAAACGTGGAAGAGTAATATATATTCGGCCAAAGATAATATTGACAAGCAGTTTCTACCGGTCATGACTGCGGAACAACGTCTAAAAATGTATGTGACATTCGAAACATTTCTCCAGGCTTGCGAATGGGCGAACTTGACGTACTTTCTGATTGGCGGGTCGTTGCTAGGCATGTACCGTCATCATGGCTTCATTCCGTGGGATGACGATATTGATGTTGCAATGAGCGCTTCAGACTGGAGGCAAATCCGCTATGTTTTATCACACATTCCAGGATACGAACTGTATGCCCCAAGCGATGTTCAATGGAAATTTTACATGAAAAACCTTCAACCTATTAAGAACAAACCTTTCAGATGGCCCAATGTGGATATATTCTTCTACACTGAGGATTCCACATATATATGGGGATTAACAACGGGTCTTAAAGGAGAACTTTTTGTTAAAAAGTCCGATTTATTTCCACTCCAATACCGTCCATTTGAAAACAGAAATGCAGCAGCCCCTTGCAACACACGGGACATCCTCATCAATAGGTTCGACGTAGATCTGTGCGTGTCTCTGTCCTATGGACACAAGACGGGCGCCAGTTTGGCTGACGTTAAGAAACGTCCCTGTAAGGAGCTCCATGGTGCTTATCCGTTTGTATTTAGGAGCCCTGGCATTGATGGAGGTATGATGGAGACTTTGAAAATTGGGGATCACGTGGTTAAGAATGTTACACTTCCTGTTTCTTGTAGTTCGACATTCTTATCAGGATGAAATTGAAGATCTCATATCAAATATTCAAAATTCCTTTTCGTGGTTCCGTTTCTATGGTTACTGGCACAAGTGGAGCCGGTCGATGTGAAAGAACATCTGGTGCACACAGTGTGAGTGTGAATTTCCTAATTAACGTACTGTCAAAGTTAAACACTCAAAAGCTATTTGTGAAAGCGGGGAGTGTGGATGTCTGTTTCTCTGGAGAAAAATGCCAATTCAAGGATATGTGTTCGTTCGAATTAAATATGTGCCTTTGAACAAGAAAATATGTATCTCAGCGTAATCCTTTGATGGAACGGGACGTTTCAGAATTAGGAAGATTGGAGTTTGTGTGTGGAATGGTGTGTCCCTGGCGAGTGAGCGGCGATTTGAAATGCCTCAGGCTTCAGATCTTGTCACTGCTAGTGGAAAGTGGACCCCAAAAAATCGAATACGGAGTAAAGGCTGTTTCATGTTTGAGTTCAACTCCACCGCCTGTACATATATGATCGGTGGACGTAATTACGGGAGCAATGAAATATATTACCGCTACGTCGTTCGTACACAACGCTGTGGGCGTTTACCGCCGTCACATCAACACAAATGACTGTTTACCGTCTCTCAGTGCACTTACAATGAATCTTCCACAGTTCTCACATAACGCCATATTTGTTTCTCATTGTTAGTCACGTGACAATACCCATTGGGGGAAAAACGTTTGAAGTATATTCAAATTTTTGCTTGTGGTATTTGATCCTATTGTATGTTTCTATTACTGCCACGATGTGTTTGAGAATTACATTCCAGTGTTATATCGATGACGATATACGCAATTCGGTGCCATAAACAACGGAGGAACCAGTACCTCTAAATTCGGTTGTGCTATCATGTCTAGGCGGATATATGTGACCTAGAATCTGTGAAGAAATTCATAACAATGGTGGAATCAAGCCCCGAGACCTCGCTACAGATTCCTGTGTATGGATTTCCATGGGGGGTATGTGATGTGCTCAAATCTACACCGCCAGACGAACCAACAGTCTGATAATACTCCCCAGCCGACAAGCAGTGAATGAGTGTCTCAGTTCAATCTCTTTAGCTAAGCAATATGGAATAATAATAGAGATTGTTAGCCGAATGTGTGTTCGTACCGTAAATATTCTATATAAGGAGTGAGTTGGGTTTAATGTCGCTTTTAACAGCTTAATGGAGGGAGGAAAGCCCAAGGTGATGCAGGTCTCAGATGTTTACCGCTTAGGTGAAACCCAAGGGTGCTAAAAAACCTAGTGACACAAACGGGGCGAACCGGAATTTGAACCCACAATCATAGAATTCTGGCGTGCCCAAGGGACGCAACTCTGCACAGCGAATCGCGGCGCCTCAGACGACTGGGCCACCCGTGCCCTATCTCTATTAGGAAAAAGACGAGCATAATACATGTATTTGCATCCCAATTATATGATATTTAGAATACGGAAACACACGGGGATAATGAAGGCTTTTTTCATGAATGTCATTCTCAAAATGTGCGAACTTGAAGACGCATTTTCATTCACAAAATGGGGCACGGGTGGCCTAGTCGTCTAAGGCGCCGCGATTCGCTGTGGAGAGTTGCGTCCCTTGGACACACCAGAAACCTATGATTGTGGGTTCGAATCCCGGTTCGCCCCGATTATGTTTCTAGGTTTGTCAGCACCATACACGTGCTAGTGGGTTTCACCGAAGTGGTAAACGTCCGAGACCTGCATCACTTCGGGCTTTCCTCCCACATTAAGCTGACACGCCGTGATATAACTGGAATAGTGTTAAAAGCGGCGTTAAACCCAACTCACTCACTCACTCACTCACTCTAACGCAAATTGGATGTCCTCAGATCTTTGTTTAGCGGTAGCGAGAACTTAGATCTTATTTTAATGAGACTGTCACTTAAGTAACCGCAGAGGAATATAATACATGACTTGACTTATTTGACTGACTCATTTATAAAATAGTGCCAAACGATTTCAGCCATGTTTGTTTACATGAACACCCATGCGTCGGGAAAGCTTCAGGTGAATTCTTTTGGAAAGTTATCGAAATGTTTTGGAACAAGAAGGCATCGCGTCGATGTATAGAACTTACTGAAAGTAGTTCTTGCTAGGGGACCTCATTTGCATATGTTTTGGATCCAGATACAAAGCTTATGGGATTGGTTTATCGTATCGATAACACTGTCCATTATGTTTTAAATACATTTTTACACATATTTCAACGTTATAATACTAGTTTTCACGCAGTGTTTGCAGCTAGTGTTCCCCGCTATTTGGAAGTCTCACTAGAACGGCTAAAATATGACCAGCTGACGTTGACAGAATAACTGCAATAAATGACGACTGTGTGAGTGAGTGTGGTTTTACGCCGCTTTTAACAATATTCCAGCAATATCACGGCGGGGGGCACCAGAAATGGGCTTCACACATTGTACCCATGTCGGGAATCGAACCCGGGTCTTCAGCGTGACGAGCGAACGCTTTAACCACTAGGCTACCCGACCGCCCCACGACTGCGTGAAACACTGACCATCTCAAGACGGGACTAGGTACAAGGAAATATTACAAGGGCTTGTACTGTTCGCCTTCGCGTAGATTACCATTTTGCGTCTGAAATGAAAATGTTTTAAAATCTTTGCTTGCTAAATTGTCTTTTTAAAGTTAAGAAAGAAGTCCAGAGAATCTCTGTCGAAGCAGCGTTAAACCAAACTCACTCATTATCTCGAATCCCTGCTTAACCCAAATTGACCAACTGATCATCAACCTCGTGTCCTCAGATGTCAACATCATCTTTCATTAACTCAATCACTCACTGTAACCGATCATTCGCGTCATCCAACATGGACATATCCGTATTTGACTGGGTGATACTACATGAAATGTGTGATACAATGTTACGATAGTGAATTATTTCAAACCTCTCATCACTATATGTTTTTCTCAATGCTTGACTTTCTATCATTTGTTTGTTTGTTGTTTAACGCCGTATTCGGCAATATTCCAGCCATGCGACGGCGGTTTGTAAATAATCGAGTCTGGACCAGACAATCCAGTGATTGACACCATGAGCCTCGACATACAACATTGGGATACGATGACGTGTATCAGCCAAGTCGGCGAGTCTGTTAGTCGCCTCTTCCAACAAGTATCGATTGCTGAAGACAAGTTCTAACCCGGATCTTCACCGGTCCTTTGTCATTCGATGGCTACGATCAGATTCTTCCATATGTCTTATAGCCTTGTTATCGTCTTCGCACTCAGTTTAATGAAACACACACGCAACTAGTGACGTCACAGGTTCATGTGTACACAGATTACCTGCGTAGTGATACATCGTTCTCTTCCACTAATAACGAATGTGTCATGCGCTACTTTGTCTGGTTTCTCTGTATTTGGGTTTTGCAACTCTTATAATATGATCCTTTTCTTTTTCGATCTATTAAATCAGCCTTGTTAGTAGTATGTCCTTTGTTAACGCCCGATACTTACATCGGGTAAGGTAATCCCTATAGAAAGTTTCCATTATCACATAGAAATGCATTAAAAACACAATGCATTATAAACTTGAAGTCTGACCTTATACCTTTCACGTGTGTAGCCGGACATTCCTCTATCACTAATCGTGCATAGTGTTTGGCTCGTTCTGTGAGCCATTAGCTCTGATGTTGTGTGGACGTGTTATCTTTAATCAGTATAATTTGGGATTCACGATCAATATATTCTTCCATGTTTTCACACACTATGCAATTCCATGTGTTTGTGATCTCACCTGACCAATATTAAGGGGAAGACCATTTCGCATTCGGGAGAAAATGTGTTCCTGACATATTTGGTCTGCTCATCCTTTCAGAGAAAAGCCATTACTGAAAATAACTGAGGGGCAAAGGAAACTATACCGAGTTTTTTCTGTGTGATAGAAAATTGAAAGAACGGTTGTTGAATGTGATTATGTCCGTTTAACGATCACTCATTTCTGCAACAGTTTGTAAAAAATAATATGTGGTTGGGTGTTTGTAAAAAATAATGTGTGGCAGGGTAATTTTGTGTAATGATAGATTGGTTCAATGAAAACAGCCATATGACCTCTACCATGTTTGAAAGGTAAATTGGTGCCGAAAAAAGCAAATTTATTGATTTTCAAAGCTACGATATCTAATATACCCACCAGCAGTTGAGTATTGTGAGAAAAAAAATCAATTTGTAAAACTTTTATATCAATTTGTTTTTTTAAATTGAACCATGTATTCTTTGAGTGTTGTCTAAGCGCAATCTGTTGGATGCTTTCACTGAAAATCAAGCATATGATAAAAGCAACCGAGAGGTTTAGTTTTTTTGCTTCTCAGTTTACATTGTAAGTAATCGATCTCTCGGGATCGGGGAGCGTTTGTCTCGACGCATTCTACATTTGTGTCTGAAACCTACCCCTGAGCAATTATTGTGAAAATTTCATAATTATAAGAAATCTCTGCTATAATCGTTTTCATAAGATAAAGTGAAATATATGTACCTATTGATACGATCGTCGATGGGCGAAGGTTTACTGGTTTCCGATCAAGTTTAAACAATATTGCCTGAAAACTATGAACCAAACTATAGCGGCCTAAACTGTGTTAAATTAATGGCCATCCTAAGGAGCAGTGAATACAGCAACAGAATAAGAATGGTCTTAAGTCATCACAACCATTGTTTTGATCAGTGAACCTTCGTCTGTAGCGGCACGCTGTCAGGTCGGCTGCGTGCAAACACCTTCAGCAAACGTCGGGCGAGGTGCGTCCCGAGTCGTGGAGTTTGACATTTGTTTGCTGTTGAATTAAATTGACTCAAAAGTGTTTCAGTGTTCGGTTTAAAGGGATATGTGTATATTTATTGGTCATGTTTAAGGATTATTGAATAAAACGTCTTATGCAAACAAGGGACCGGTCACTTATCATATTTATTATGGGGAGGGTCAGATGGAATCAGGGGAGGGTCACCAAAACAAAAAATATGACAGTCTCTAAGAAGGGAGGGTCATAAAGAATGAGACACATATTTGGGGAAGGTCAAGAACAAATGGACATGTTCTGATAACATAAAGTGTTTTTGCATTTTATCTCTTCTTTTTGGTGGTGGGGGGTGAAAATGTACACGGACATGGGGAGGGCCATCCAAAACTATGACTAGCATTAGGGGAGGGTCATTATTTTTCAGTACATTAGTGCAAAAAAAACTGACCCACCCCAGTGATAGATGACCGGTCCCTAATTTGAACTTTGAAATAGACGATCACAATGCGCTACAAATCTATTATCCTATTTTTGTCCTTTATTTTACATCAACTTGCATATACGTACGCATTCAGCTTTATTAAAATGAAGACAAAATGCAATTGTATGCATGGAGTCTAAAAAGGAATAAAATGTTTCAATCCATATGTTTTTGTTTTCAGCTATTATAGGGAGCGGTAGGGCAGCCTGGTGGTTAAAGCGTTTGCTCGTTACATCATGGGCCCGGTCGATTCGCCCACGTGGGTGCAATGTGTGAAGTCCATGTCTGGTGTCCCGCACCGTGATATTTTTAAAAGCGGCATAAAACCATATTCATTCACTCATCTATCTTTAGTCACGTGTTGCTGTGCTGGTTCTCTAAGACGTGTTCACACGGTTTAACAGTTACTATATACACAGCGACCTGCAGGTAATGGAGTCTGAAACAGACAGCGCAGTGATTGATAGCTTGAGTAAAGATCTACGTAATTGGGAAGCCTTGCTCCAAGGCTGTACTGAACTATAAGTTCGTGGATCTACAGTAATTCTATCTTAATAATCGGCAAGTCTAGTTAAGCCACTCCAGTCTTTCATAGAGCTATGCTATATTTCTACATAGAGGCTACATGTACGTATGTTTTATTTCTACATAGAGGCTACATGTACCTATGCTATATCTCTACATATACATATAGGCTACATGTACCTATGCTATATTTCTACATAGAGGCTACATGTACCTATGCTATATTTCTACATAGAGGCTACATGTACCTATGCTATACTTCTACATAGAGGCTACATGTACCAATGCTATATTTCTACACAGAGGCTACATGTACGTATGTTTCATTTCTACATAGAAGCTACATGTACGTATGTTATATTTCTACATAGAGGCTACATGTACCTATGCTATATTTCTACACAGAGGCTACATGTACGTATGTTTTATTTCTACATAGAAGCTACATGTACGTATGTTATATTTCTACATAGAGGCTTCATGTACCTATGCTATATTTCTACACAGAGGCTACATGTACGTATGTTTTATTTCTACATAGAAGCTACATGTACGTATGTTATATTTCTACATAGAGGCTACATGTACCTATGCTATATTTCTACACAGAGGCTACATGTACCTATGCTATATTTCTACACAGAGGCTACATGTACGTATGTTTTATTTCTACATAGAGGCTACATGTACGTATGTTTTATTTCTACAGAGGCTACATGTACCAATGCTATATATATTCTACATAGAGTCTACATGTCATGATGTTATATTTCGTAATTTATCGTAAATAAAACACTGCAGGGAGAAAAAACCATGCAGTGTTTTATTGTACAATAAACAACGACCACGAGTCGTTTATTACTTATATGAGATATCAACATT